TTGGATTTGCTCCTTGTGCACAGTTGTATGTCTGCGCTTGGCATAGAAAATTATGACCAGTAGCATGCTAGGGCCATTTGTATGTCTACAAATAATTGGTTGAGAAACTAGGGTGTGATCGAAATAATTGGTTGAACCCCTAAGTGCTGGACCTACTTCTTATGCACACTGAACAACCAAGGCCATGCCCTGCTGTTGTAGCAAGCACAAGCAGCAGGCCATCTTTGCCGTCCTAAATATCTTTTCTATAGATCTATATTCTCCTAGTCTTTGATCTGAGTTGCTATTATTTTTTGTTGCTTTTTCAGAAAGTAGATTCAAATGATTAGGATACTATATTTTGCTGATGAGGTATGGATCAGTCTTGTAGTGCTTCTTCTTGAAATTTTCTATTCTTTTTTGCAATCTGATGTCTTCCCCTTTCCCCTGCTCTGCGTGAGCAAAGCAGATGCTTTCCCCATGCAGCAGATCTGTTTTTGCTTTGCTTCTATCCCAAGTCTTTATATTACTATATATTCATGATTTTGGGCTTTTATTATGGGCTGCTATTGTTAAATGGGCTAATTTATAATTTTAGTTAATGGGTTGTACTGTTTTACTCTTGAGTTGCACAGAAATTATAAACAGATTTTCTCTACGTGGGCCTTCTTTAAAAATCCATTGTTTTAGAAGCAGCCAACAACCGTGTACTAGCTTGTGCTAAAACACATGATTTTTGCTATGTTGGAAATCATGTGTTATGTAAGCAACCAACAATCATGTGCTAGCTTATGCTAAAACACATGCTTTTTCCTCCGTTACAAATCGTGTGTTTTGCAGCCAGCAAACAACCATGTACTACCTTTTGCTGAAACACACGGTTGTTGGGTAGACAGACTCACACTGTTATAATATAGAAAACGGAAGCGGTCAGTTCAGGATATTTCTATATTTTAGTAATTAAAAAGTAAAAAATGGTTGAAAATGGTTGCAAACCCAATTAAAAATGACAAATTTTTATATTTGGCAAAATTCGGAAATGATATCATGATATAGAAAACGGTATTATAATATAGAAAAAAAAACGGTTAGGTTCGTAATATTTTCGTACCGTTGTCATCCTTAGGTGGACAGAACGACTCCTTCGCCAACTACGAGGAGGGGGGAAACGTCGGCACCTCCAGCTTCAACTCCTACACCACCGGAGCCACCGGCGGCGCCGGGGAGTTCGCCGGGTACGCTGGACAGACCAACACGGTGGCGGTGACCTTCGCCACCTACGACAACACGGGCAACGGCCGTACGCACGAGTTCACGGCCTACTCGCAGGACGCCAACTCCGGCGTGCAGAGCTTCACTGGCTACGGCAAGACCGCGAACGGCGCAGGCGAGTCCTTCAAGACCTACGGGAACAACTCTAACACCGTCGCGTCCGGCTTCATCAACTACGGCGAGAAGGCCAACGGCTTCAACGACACGTTCGCCTCCTACGGCCTCGACGGGAACGCGCCCCAGAACACGTTCCGGAGCTACGCCTCCGGCAGCAACGCGGGCGTCGACGAGTTCAAGGCGTACAGGGACGAAGCCAACGTCGGCGACGACAGCTTCACGTCGTACGCGAACAACGCCAATGGTGCGGCCGCCGACTTCGACAGCTACGGCAAGTCGACCAACCCTGCGAGCGTGGCGTTCAAGGGGTACGACCAGGGCTCTAACCCCAACCACCGCATCGGCTTCACGCAGTACTCCGGCAAAAACACGACGTTCAACGCCTACTCCAACGAAGGCGTCGAGTTCAAGGAGTACCAGAACATGTCAAAGATGGAGGTGTCCAAGACGGCCGCAACGGCGGTGCCTGGGCACCGGCTGCCCAAGTGGTCGCCGGAGCCAGGGAAGTTCTTCCGGGAGCGGGACCTCATGATGGGCAACCGAATGCCAATGCCGGACATCGCCGACAAGATGCCGCACCGCGCGTTCTTGCCGAGGGACATTGCCACCAAGATCCCGTTCGAGGAGAACGCCGTGTCAGCGCTGTTCGGAGCGCCGCCGGGCACGTCAATGAGGCAGGTGGTGGCGTCGACGGTGGGCGAGTGCACGCGACCGCCCAGCCAGGGCGAGACGAAGCGGTGCACGACGTCGGCCGAGGACATGCTGGACTTCGCGGTGGAGATGCTGGGCAGCAACATCGCGGTTCGCAGCACGGAGTCCACGGCGGGTAGCGGCAGGTACGTCCGGCTTGGCAAGATCACGGGCATCGCCGGCGGCAGAGTGACGCGGTCCGTGTCGTGCCACCAGAGCCTGTTCCCGTACCTGGTGTACTACTGCCACTCGGTGCCACGGGTCCGGCTGTACGAGGCGGACATCCTGGACGTGGACTCCAACCGGAAGATCAACCATGGCGTGGCCATCTGCCATCTCGAGACGTCGGATTGGAGCCCCAATCACGGGGCGTTCGTCGCGCTCGGTGGAAAACCTGGTCAGATTGAGGTCTGCCACTGGATCTTCGAGGGAGACATGGCTTGGACCCTTGTTGATTGATGTTGATGACACCACAACCGTTACATTTGGCCTGGTGGTTTACCTCCGGTTACTCCTCTCAGTCTCAATTAAAGAAATACCAACCTTTTATGACTTCTTCTCTATTTAATTTAGAAAAGGTTTTTTTTGGGGTTGTTGCTACTACAAATATGTACTCCTATGTTGTGACCAAATTGACTTCATCAGTATATAGCACATCAAAAAAAAAATAGTACGTGAGATCACAGGTGGGTAAAAGTGGTGGTTTGGAAGCACCTTGTGCATGCTAAACTACATTGCAAGTGAATTGTTGTCTTGTTGGCATACATTGGAACGACCAACTAGGTAGTAGCTTCCAAACTCTGATTAATAAATCAGTAACAATCTAACAGAAGTGTGATCTTGTTTGAACAGCAAGTGATCTATCTCCTACACATGTAACTCGGACTCTTGGTCTTACTTTATCAACATGACACTGGAAAAAAAATATGAGCCCAACTTCAGCTAAGGAACTTTAATTAATTTATAAATGACTATTCACTCTCCTCTAGTCCGTCATCTATCACGATCTTACACCAATTCGTGCAACCTTCTATTTATCACTATAATGATCCGCCGGGTGATACTATGCAAAGACTTTCTCTACACCATCTCCTTCGTGATCTTCACTGACTGATCCGGCACCCTATGATCAAGTGATTCAGTTCTCTCTCCACTGCTTCTTGATTCTTCATGGTTTCTTCTCTTGATTTCGCACACTTATTGACCCCTTGCATCCCTAGGATCTAAGTGAATACATCTGACACATCTTAGTACATATGTTAGCCTTACTTATTGGGTTGTCATTTTGATCGTCAAAACCACAAAGGAATATGGCATAAAGCCCTACAGTTGTGCAAGAAGATTTGTTTGCATTGTAGCTAGTGACTAATACGACCTTGTTAAAGTAGGTATGTATGAGTAAGAAATTATTAATTTGATGTACTGCTTGATAATTTTTTTAGAAAAATAACGATATGTCACTATTGGTGGTTTTGGCCTGCAAAATTACTAGGGATGAAAACAGGGTAGATTTGTTCGGGTGGAGCCTCCACACACCCGCAACCGAAACCAGAATTTAAAACATAAATCTGTCCTGAACCGCCCCACTACCGACCCTACAAATTACCTCGATAATGACTGGCGAAAAACAACCCACGCAAAAGTATCATGCGTAGTAACTAAGGGGCAAGGAGTACAAACTAGCTGCACCATCTGCCCATGGCACGCACGACCCATCTACATAAGTTAGCTACTCAAGCTGACAAACAAACAGTACACAAGTTTCACACCCAGTTCGAGTAAGAGACGTGCCTACTCCCGCTTCCTCTTCCTCTTCCTCTTCCCCTCTGCTGTTCTTCCTCGTCCTGTCAATAGTTTGTTATTAGTACTTTTTGCGAGTTGATACATACATAGCCTTCTTTTTCATGGTTCAAAACAACATACTGAAAACAGAGTTAGTGGCATTTAGCTCCTAAACCAACCTTTGTGATATGATGGACAGGACTAGTGCTCAAGAATAAGTGGAAATTCTGTAGATTATCAAACTGACCTTTATGGCACGAATCATGTGATTCCAGCTTTTCTTCAACGACAACCTCAGCAGCTGAAAAATCCTGCAATTATCGTCATCTAATGAGATTTACCAAATAGGCCGTACAGGTCTTTGCCCATTAACAAGTCAACAAGTCACATGATTGCTTGACAACATTCCAGCAAAGCTTCATATGACTGGAGATGATCAGTACAATGTTTACAGGACATGAATAGGGATACCACTATGCCCCGCAACTATGGTGTGTAAAGTATTAGTCATAATGGAAACAAAGTGCAACAACAAGCATAACATGTAACAAACAGCCTACATTTTACTGCAGATGGTGGCTGGGTAAGCAGGGACTTCCAACAAGTTTGGGCTAAGCATATATAAGGTGCATATTTAACAGAGTTACTTTTTCACAATCTCCCCATGCTGCGATCAGCATGTCCCACCATCTGTGCTAAAGTTTTATAGGAAGCAAGATTACAAAGGACAACAAAGGAAGCCCTGATATTGTTTTATATAAAAATAACCACATGACAAGATATTTCATCAACGGTTTATTAACATGAAGAATTACGGTTGATTACCCAATTATTCTTCTTAAAAGGCTTACCGAAAGTTAATACTTATAGGAATAATACATTACCCTTAGACATCAGTGAAGCACCCAACTCATCTTTACCGATTACCATTCAGGGAACTAAGGTGTGGCAACAGGATATTATGCATTGTGTAAACCTACAACAATGGATGGTGATATGCACATAATAATAGATAATAAAAAGTAGAGTTCTAAAAATGTTGTGATCAGAGTAAAGGGTGAATCACAACCCAAAATGAGTATCAGGGTGACAGGGTGTCAAAAGAATATTATACTAAATTAGATTAACTGTTGTTAACTGATTTATTCGAGGTGTAAAATTCAACCTACATTTACATTTTCATGAGAAGTCAGATCCGCAGTTGATGTAGCTCCTTGATTAACCATCTGTTCACTGGATGCTTCCTGCTGGATCTTTTTCTGCTTGTGGCCCCTCTTCATTGGTCCACCACTTGGCATTTCAAGAACTTTGCCACTTCGTAATCTCCTGCCAGTACTGTCTTCCAAGCCTCGAATAGCTCCGAACTTTGGAGTCATCCCTTCAGTTGGTAGTTCTAATGCATCTGTAGTCCCAATGTTCACTGAATCTTTCCCAGATTTTGGAATTCCTGGTTCTCCTAGTTGAGAGAACGTACAGTCAAGGGGAGGAGCAACCATTCCATGCTCACTTGAACAGCTGTGCATATTCTCTTGCTGAATATCAGCATCTTCGTCAGCCTGACCACAACCTACTGTGCTCCTGTAACCTTCATTCACAACTGACGAAATTTTGGATGGTGCCAATATGTTGCCATCTACTTTTGAGTTGGAGCTGATGGAACCTGTACTTTGCCTAACTGAAACAGAGCTGATGGAGCGATTAACTATCTCCGGTTTACTTGCATCTATATCATGCACTTTCATGCTGATAACTTTCTTGGCCACTATTACATGCTTCTCCAGGTGGTGCCAAAGGTTTCTCAGGCACACCCATTCTGAGGCCATATAATCCCAAAGATGCAGTTATGTTTCCTGCATTATCATCCGTAAGTTCAAGGGCTTTGGGTAGTAAGTCCATCTGTGTTGCCACTATACCCTACGGATGAGTAGAAATCATTCTCTGTTAAATCATAATCATATGTGATTTTACTGCTAAAGCTGTCACTTAAGAAGTATGCCATGTAATCTTCAACTGAAGGACTTGGTGGACCAGTAGTAGTTTCTGATGATGATTGTGCATGTTCATTATCCGCACCATCTTTGGATTAACAAGCCTTTGCCATAGAATTGGAAAGCCAATCCCAAAGGATTCGCACACCTACATAAAGTCATGGATATATATACAGATGAGAATTTGCTGGTCATTTCTTAAGCCAATCAAAGAAATTAAATTACCTAGGATCAGCTAGATGGGTATCTAAAGGATTAAAGCAAAAAGAATATATAACGAACTGGTGCACAGAGCTGTCCATAGTAGCAATGCACCTTCCAAACTCCAGTCCCTGGAGACCAATCATAGCAATTACCTCTTCAGAAAATCCATTCTCACGTGTTTTGGGAATATTCAAGGGCCGCCTATCCGTATCTGGTAACCATCCTCGGACTCAATTGTGAGATAAGCATGGCGCTTCACAATGGCAGAAGATCTGAACACTCGGCCTGCCACTTTCATGTTTCCCTTTGAGGACGATGCTCCTTTCCTGTTTGCATAGCACACTACAGCACCGTGAGATCAAATATGGAGTACCAATGGAAATCGTTTGGCATTTCTTTTTTTCTTGCTAACAATTAATTTCTTAAATTGCCAAACAAAAAAAAAATCATATTTCCCGATCTACTGAATTTCTGTAATTGAGGACAAGAAAGGGATCAAATTTTCCAAACATTTAGGAGGGTAATTGGGAAAACGAAATCGATAAATGGAACCGCGGAGGAGATGCCTCATTTGCTCGCCCATTTGCGGGGTGAAGGTGGTTCCAGCGACGCGGATCTTGCCCTCCCCGCCCTCCACTCTCTCCAGACACCAATCGACGAGTGTAGTCTAAGAGACGCAGCGAAGGAACACATTAGTCCACCGGAACCCGCAGCGCGCAAAGACGAAAAATGAGAGACAGGGAGGGGGAGAGGCGCGTACGCATTTCCGCGCGATGCGGTGGACGGCCTGGGCGGAGAGCTCCGGGATCCGGGGGATTCCGCCGGTGGAGCCCGGCGCCGGGGTCCTGGGGCTTCCGCCGGTGGAGTCCGGCGCGGGCTGGGACGGCATTCCCGCGAGCGGCGGAGTGGCGGCGCCGCGGGGCAAGAAGGGAGAGGAGACGGCTGCGCCTGTGACTGGGCGGAGTTTTTCATTTATTTTGAAAAAATCCACTACGCGGCGGACGGCCTGGGCGGAGAGCTCCGCCGGGATCCGGGGGTTTCTGCCGGTGGAGCCTGACGCCTGGATCCGAGGGCTTCCGCCGGTGGAGCCCGGCGGGGGCTGGGACGGCATTCCCGCGAGCGGCGAGTGGCGGGTCAAGAAAGGAGAGGAGACGGCTGCGCTGCGCCTGTGACTGGGCGGAGTTTTCCGGGGACGCACGCGTGTGGACTGTGGAGGGCTGGCGGCCGATCCGTTTCCGAGAAGGGAACCGCGGTTTTTCTGTTCGTAAAGATTTTTCTAGACTAAAATAAATTAAATTAGTTATATATTTTTGTTTGAAATTCGCATCGCATGCACCGATTCTAGCGAGGAGTTAGAGCAGTATTCAACGAGGTAAAAGTCTGTTTGATCCTGTATCTAAACTTTAGAGGCTTTAACTTATTTTTTATGTCTAAAGCACTAATATGAAATGACAGCTAACCTCTGAAATTTAGAGGAAAAAATCCAAATAAGCCCTTAGTGTTAAATGTTGGTTACCTGAGTTTGTGGCCTGCCCCACAAATGATTTTGGTAGCTAGCTCTAGCTAGGAGTGACAATGCTCCCTCCGTTTTAAAATAAGTGTCGTTCTCACTTCTCGAAGAGTCAAATGTTTTTAACTTTAACAAAAATATATATATATAATATTAATATTTATAGTATATAATTAGTATCATTAGATATATCGTTGAATCTATTTTCATAACAAATTTATTTGGATATACAAATGTTGCTAATATTTACTATAAACCTAGTTAAATTTAAAAAAGTTTAACCGACACGGATACCATGACGACATTTATTTTGGGATAGATGTAATATATTATAGTACATGATTAGTATCATAAGATAGGGCATTGGATCTATTTTTATAACAAATTTATTTGGAGATATAAATGTTGCTAATATTTACTATAAATTTAGTTCAATTTAAAAAAAATTGACCAATACGAATATCATAGCAATACTTATTTTGGAATGGAGGCAGTAGAAAATAGAAGCTGAAGTTTTATAACAGGTTGGCTTTAGTCGACAAATAGCCCATATATGTACGCAAATGTTGTGGGTCGGACATCCGTTCACCCAAACGCTTGTGTTGGTGAGCCTCTATCCGTCCCAACAGCTCAACACCGTCACTCGCCCATCTGCCACACCCATCTCACGTTGCTTAAAAAACTCTACTTTCACTTTCCTCCCGAATCGCCGCCATTCCTACACCCATTCTCGAACCCCACTCTCGAATGGACGTCGTGCTCCACCGCGGCGCTCTCCACCGCGCCCGCCCGACCACCATCCTTCCTCTTCACCGCGCCTGAGTGCTGTCGCCTGGCTTTCTCCCTTTCCACCACGCTCACCATCCGTCGTGGTTTTCGTTCTACATCGCGTGCTCCCGGTCGCTTCTGTCCCTTTCCGGTGGCAACTCGTACCAGTAGCGGTGTCGGTGTTTTATAAACCGGACTAGTAAATTTATACGAATATCGTGCTTTTCTAGGAAGACAATGGTATCATCGAAAATACACGAGGATTTATACTGGTTCAGGCCGGAGCCCTACGTCCAGTCTCAGAGATGATCGAGCGCGTGTTCCTCGCTTGAATGCTCTGAAGTTCTTACAATGGAGGTGCAAGAATGGTGGAAGAGGTAGGAGAGCTAGAGCTAGGAGAAGGGCTGTCCGAAGAAAAGCTTCAAGAGCCTGGAGAGAATGGGAATGGTTGGATCAGAATGAGAGAGAGTGCCCCAAAAGGAGGCCCTGGCTGCCCTTATATAGAGTTCAGAGTTAGGTTAAAAAAAGGAGGTTCTCCCGACCGAAGGGTAGTGAGCCTGAGGGAGGAGGCCTAGCTAACTTGGCTTGCAAGTAACGCTGTCTTACAGTGTACACCTTGGTGTGGCTGTCATCATGGTCTTGTGCCCACGCCGCGGCATGGCGTGACGTGGTGCCATAGTGCCCATCATGGCGGTATTTGTGGGCACGACGGTGTTTCGCCAGCCGTTCTGCGTGCCGTGGTCTTCGTCATCGCCTTCTGATCGTTTGGGGGCACCATACAATAGTAGGTAGCAGCCCCCGGATCGTCGATCATCTTGCTGCTTATGGAGTTGGTGGCCACGATCCCGAGCTCTGAGGTCGTGGCTCGTGTTGGTTCAGATGGCCTCTAAGTCAAGGCCATCATCGTGGATCCCATCCCATAGTGGGTGGGATCGTACATATGTCTTGTCGGGCCATATTTGGACGGTGGTTCTCCATACCTGCCGTCACCGCTTGGCGGTGTTGTCTTTTCTCTGCTGCGTGGCGCAGGGATAGCATCTGACCGGACCGAGGTGACCGATGTCACCTCAGTCCTTATGGGGTCAGTGCGGCATGCCTGCTCCTGCTAGAGTAGGCACACACTTGGCTGGACTCGATCTCTCCCTGTTCCTCCCAAGAGCCGAGACAGTGGTGTGATTGTGAGTCCTTGTACGGTGTGCGACTGAGGGAGATGGAGGGGTCGTGGCGACCCCCGGCCTTAGCGTTTGGCCCGGTCCGCTTAGCTTAGCTGGGCTACGATCGCTTGGCTTTATGCTAGCTGGCATATCGTGGACCGCCCGAGCGGCTATCTAATCGATGCCTTGAGATACCCGGGGTATCATAACCCCGACAAGCGATGACTAGTAGGCCATCCCTACTGCCTCTCTCTATCTCTCTCCCCCCACCGGAGCGACCCATCGCGTCCTTCTCCACGGAGCCGCGAGCTTTGCACCATGAACAAGCTCTAGACCGGTAAACTCCACACGTCGACGAGCCTCTATTCTCCCCAGCAGCAAGAAGATGTTGCGCTGAAAGCGCATGTTGCAAGCGTATGTTTCAAGTGTTTTAGATGTTTCAAAGGTATATTGCAAGTGTTTCATACGGATATTGCAAAAGTAGATTGAGATGTTGCATATGTTGCAATGGTTGTACAGGTATACTAAAAGCGCCGGTTCCCAATGTTTCATCTGTGTTTTTTAGACTTATGTTGCAAGTGTATTTATCTGGATGTTGCATATGTTTCACACATATATTGCAAGTGTTTCATGTGGATGTTGTGTATGTTTGCAATGATTTTCAAATGTTTTTGCAAGTGTTTTGTCTGTCTTTTTTTGTATGTTGCAAGTGTTGCATCTGGATATTTCAAAAGTAGATCGGGTGTTGGACATGAAATACGCATGGAAAGCGGGAGGGGCGCGACCGGTCCCTTCGCGGGCGACGTTCGGGCGGCGCGGGCCACCGCATGGGCTTGCGAAACGTGGGCACGGGCGGGGATGTCCGGGCAGCGCAGCCCCTGTGTGGACGCGCGAAATGGGGGTGCAGATGTGAACCACAGCCGCGGGCGTCTGTCCAGACGTCCGGACGCTAGTAGTGCCGATACATGTATATGCGAACTCTAGTTCCCATAGGATTGAAGACAATCGTGGGTAGTATAATTTGTTTACAAAATGTACAGAGTCAGCAAGGTCGAAGGGAGATCTAACTAGTGTAATTACTATGCTAGCTGTTACATATGGGGCCAGAAGGATGTGCTGTTTATTTGCATGACGCTTCTTTCTGAGATATGGGCGATTGTTTGGACTAGTCTTGTTGTGATGGATTATAATTGTCGACGCGAGCTCCTCCAACGGCTCACTCTCCTATCTCTATATATAAAAAAAGAGGCGCAGTACATTGGGACGCCGTTGACATCACACTGGACTAGATGATGAGCATATTGCACTGCAGTGTTGGCGACAAAAGGTGATGAACAGAAAAGTGTTGGAGATTCTTGCATTCACAAATTAAGTAGGAGTATATGTATTTCACCAAGCGGGGTACATAAATTTTTGGGGCGCATAGTTTTTTGTTTGCTCTCGAAACATGTTGACCTACATTTTGCTCAGCTTAACAGAGGCATTATATTGCTGTTTGAATGATTTGATATGTGAGCTGATTTATCAACGTATACTTTACCGAAAATAAAGAGTTGCACCAGTGGCAAATTTATTTACCACCTGCAAAGCTACTTCTGCCAACTGATGTCATCCAAGCCATAATGAGGTCATAGATGATAGTACTTCTTGAACCTTTAAGTACAGATCCATAGGTAAATGCATAACTTAGATAGAGAAACTAGGTGATGTACCTCGTCCTAGGTCATCGTTACCTAGGGTGGATCCTGTCCGAGTCCCCTTGCGTCGGTGTAGTAGCTGCAGTGGCGCCGTGCAGTGACGGCGGTGGACTGCAGAGGTGACGGTGAAGTCGGTGGGCTTCCCGTCGCTGGCAGCACCCTTCTCTTTAGATCGGATAGGGTTTCTCTGTAGGTGGGTTACGGCGGCTCAGGTCAACCTCGTACCTCGTGCCCCGGCCCTAACTTTTCTTTTATGGTGCTGTGCGATGGGGACCCACCAACCATTGGGTGGTTGGACGCCCTAGATCAGAGCGTTGATCCAAGGGCCGGTTCAATTGGTGGAGATCAAACTAATATTCTCCCTCTTGATCTCATCTTATTCCTTAAACTTCACTTACTTACTTTATCTTGTTCCCATTCCATCACAGATCAATGCATAGAACATGCCTCATCGTCACGGTCTGTTGTCATTAGATTAAACAGCTACAATACACCTCTCTGTTTTGAAACAGATACTCAACTAGGCCCTTAGTATCCAGAAATCATAGGCTTTCTCATAAACCCATGTCGACTATGTATTCTCTGAACGCACTGGGTGGTTAGCCTTTAGTAAGCGGGTCCGCAAGTACTTACTCGGTACTTATGTGCTCAATGCTTTCAAAATGATTCTAGATTTTCTTCTTTACAACATATAACTTAGTGTCAATGTGTTTGGCCGTACACTTGACATGTTGTCTTAGGAGTTAACTTACTTTAAATGGTTATTGCTGTTGTCTACCATTGTTAGATCCGGGTACAAATTCCCTTAACCTCCTTTTGCCTGTTCCTTAAGCCTCATGACAAGCTATACTATGGTATGCATCACTGATGACACCATAACTGTTTCTTTGGAGCTTTTCCACAATAATACTCTAACTGCGAGTGTTAGCAACTGCTGTGGATTTTACTACACATCTCGCAAAGACTTAACTTTTGTACCCTTAACTATTTGAGAGTTCTTATTCTTTCTTACTCAGCATAAGACCTATAATACTTAAAAAAAA